CTAGGGTATCGATTGCAGAGTAGCAAAGGCATTGTCAGCCAGCGACGGACATTCAGCGCTGTAGAAATCATCTACGTAAACATCAGCGGAAAATCGGGCTTTCGTGAAAATATATATGACGGTATTGGTAATTACCAAGAATCACTCAACGTAATTATTGCACAAATATGGAAATTTTATATTGCTCATTCAGTATGAGATCATCCTTGGGTCAATCCTGTATTTCACCCTATTTCCTGATCCGGGACTGCCTTCCCGCATTCCACAAAAACTCTGAAATAGTATGGTAATAAAAAATAACAACTCTGAAATAACCGATTAAAGGAAAAAAATAACAAAATGCTCTACCATTCCTTCTTGTAAAATATATTATTATGGTCTCTTACTTGTCAATTGCTAGTTTTGATTTGTGTTACTTTTGACTGACAAGTTGACTTGAATTTCTTGGAAGGCTTCGAGATAAAAGAATTCTCTTCTCTCTCTCAAAGCACAGAAAAGCAATTTTTTGGCCTCACAGGCAGGCATCACCTCACTCCTTGTGAATGTCCAGTCCTCATACTCACGTTGTTTATCTCAGGCCCTATATTGTTTTATGCACATGCCATGTCCCTGGCCTTGAGTGGAATAAGGTTACGTCTATCTAAAAATACCCAACGCCGGCCTCGTGCAGAATTATTACTTTACTGTGAAAAAAGAAATGACCTTTGGTAACTCCAAGTACAGATTGAGCTTCTAGTCCTCTGCCTAAATGAGTACAGATATCTTCTGGACAGTGACCGTTAGTTTATAGTCAAAGCTAGGCAGATCACAGGCATTACTAATTTCAAAAGATCCATAGGGATACCAGCCTCGGTTTAGTGGAAATCAACCAAGCCCCCGCGCTTTGAGATTACAGGTACAACAGTCCCCTAGACACATTTTATTGTCACCACCCTGTCCATATTACCGTTGACAGTGGGGTCACTTTTAACATCATTTGGTTGTCCACTGTTCACAAGTTGAAAGAAGAGATTTGTAATAGTGCCTAGTGCACCCATCAGGCTGACAGTTCCAGTTTGAAGGTCTGGTAGTCGAAAACCTGGATAAAGAGCTCCGAGCCAGTAGCCCTTTATGGAAGTCAAAAGTATCATTGTTTGTCCTGCTAATAGCTGATTACCCTTAGTGATCGTTCCTTCATTACATATGGCTCTTCTGGCACTTGTTCTACACATACACTTTCCTGTCATGCTTTGATTGTCCATGCTCCTGCAAATTCAAGCACATTATGGCCTAGGGCTAGAACTATGTGGTCACCGCCTCTGGTGATGTAGGAACGTGCAGTGAAACCTGTATTAAGGGGACAGTAGCCGAAGTTCCCAAATTTATTTCCCTTATTTTCTTCAAATGAAACCTTTATTAAGCGGACACCTCTATTAAGCAGACGTGGACACCTAAAAAGTATCCTGAAATGTTCATTTCTATTGTTGCCAACCTCTATTAAACGGACACTTGTAATTAAATATTTCCTTCACCCTACATGCCAGACACCGGAAATGCGAAAGATTGCCACCCACAATTTTTTTTTATTTTTACATTAAAAAACGTGACTTGACGAACTTATTTGATTAGTTTTTCAGTACAGTATTGTTTTCTATTTCTTTTTGTTTGTACAGAGCTTGTTTCACTCATCTGATTTCTTCAAATTTGAGTTGCAATCTATGTTTATGGTACTATGATCAATTGGTCCACTTTAAAAACGAATGTGCAGACATATATCGTCATAGGCTCTGGGAGTATTCTAAATGTTTCCTTCCACTGTTCATTTCAATGGCATTTGACACCTCATATGACGTTGTCTATCGAAACCTGTATTAGGCAGACACCCTGTATTAAGTGGACACTACAGCATTCCCCAAGGGTTTCCGCTTAATACAGGTTTTACTGTACGGCAAATCTCAGCGGTCACTTATGTACAATACTGATACCACTGTGAAACGTTTGAACCCAGGAGTCATTTCAAATGTAGGTTTAGTTTGATCGTCCAGGTGAACGTAGACCTGAATGGGACTGTTGTTATTGACAGTGACTGACGTTTCGACAACCTGTGTGGTAGTCATCTTCAGAGTCAAAGTGAGTTGTATCACGTCAGTTGATGGTATTATACTCTGGTCATTATCTGATTGGTCAATTACGTCGTGATGTTATAGGTCGTCTGTCAGTTAAGCCGTGATGTTATTGGCTATTAAGACTAGCCAATAACATCACGGCTTAACTGCGGTACCTACTCACCAGAGGAGTTACTGCACAACTTGAAATGAGTGTTTCAGGCCCTCTCCGAGGGCAACCTCAAACTCTCTGCATTCCAAGACTTTTAAAAACCCCAAATCTACCATGATGTTTGGCTGGAACCCTCCAAGCCTTCCTCCATCAAATTACAGCTCTAGCTTTGTGCAGCAAGCCTGAAACTGTAGTCCTTCATTGGTGCATACAAAGTGCTAGCTGGCATTATACCCCAGTGCTCAGCCTTACAAGCACCACTTGACACTGTCATCACAGGTCATCAGTCTCATGAAAGGATCAACTTGTCTGATGATCTACTCTTTCACAATGCACAGTCAGCCCATCTGCTCCATCAACCCCCCCCCCCCCTGCCTTGATAATCAATTGTGGATCATCACAAATGAAGCTGTCAAAAGTCCAGGTATCACCACCACAATGTATATAATACGTGACAATACCCTTCAGCTAACCAGCCTTTCCAGCACCAAACTTTGGAGTTGTCAAGTTACCTGGCTCCCTTGTGAGATAGAGGCCTTATCCATCCCAGCTGCAATGAAACACTACAGCTCTTACAGTTGAAAACACCAGCCTGCATTCTCACTAACAATAAAGCACGTGTGTGGGCATTTGAAAAGCTCTGTCGTGGTGAGTTTCCCTCAAACGCTCGTGTTCCCACCTTCCTTTCCACCATCAGTAGGTGCCAAGCCTCTGTTCATCATGTTGCTGGAGCCACTATCCTACCATCTGACTTTGCCAGTGGCAATGCCCGTAAGTGCGACAACTCAACTTGCCAAGTTTGCAGCTTCATCCAACTCACCAAGGATTCTGTGGTTCTCTGTGCATCTGTCCAAAGCATACTAGTAGGAAAGGCTAAACTTCATTTCACTAGAAAAAGCTGACACTTGGCTTGCGCTCCCAGCCCAGACCTAGAGCACACTTATGCCCATTACTCAAGGCACATTCAAAGCTGTGCTCTAAGGAAAATTGAAGGGAGCCCAGTGCTCTGAAACATTATAATCTAGGGCGCCCAGCATACGATTTGCATGAAAAATTTGAGATTTTCTAGTCGCCCGAGGGCAAAAGTTAGGCGCCAGGGGCCACCGGGCTCTGCTAGAGCACAGCCACGCACATGCTCTTCCTAGAAGTTGACTAACATTCTAACATTAAAGATGTTTAAGTTTCCTTCATTTCGCCACAATTGCTTCCGACACCTTACTCATTGTTAAATGTAACGAACCCCTAGTACCTGCCCAGCAGGAGTGCAAGTCCTTGACAATCTTTTGCATGTCCACCTTAGCCACATAAATATAACTAGATATAAAATAATAAATAATGATTTGGAGGTAGCACATCCACAAAGTGGTTCTTCGACAACTGAAGATGGTAACCCAACAAACCTTTTTCATCCTTGACATGGACAAAGCCTTTGATTGCATCACTTCTAGCTGCCATCATTCTGCTTCACCCTGCGTGGTCCTACCTCAGTGGTGCAGCAGTCCCCCAACCCCCAACCCCCAACCTGAAACTATGGGTAATCTCTTTTACTGCCAAAGTCATTAAATGAGCTTGACAGTTTATACTTACCTTGTTGAATGCCAAACGCGCTCCATGACACTCTCCGCAACACACTGATGAGCGTGTGCATTGGCATCCAACCACAGGATGGCCTTCTTACTGTAATATGAACTGACACTGACTCTTGTTTCATGACCCCTGACAGTGGCTCAGTTCTTCACAAGCTAAGAATTGTTCTCTTTATCAGCAAAGTCAAGAATCAAAACAAGAACCCAGTTGCAGAACTTGAACGTGAGCTCTTTCAACAGGATTCCTAGGGTGAGCCTGTCTCCCTTGTTGTACTTTCTGTTGCAGCCACAACCCTGAATCACACTTATGGATTGTAAGCTTGTGGGATGTGGATACAGCGTGATCAGTTCTCAGTTCCAAGATTCCACTAACTGACTATCATCTCATCTCTCAGATCCGTGTCAAGGATCTTTTGATGGACCAAAATCGCTGATCTCCACAATACCTTGGGGACTTTGTAGTATTAGTATGCCCCCTCAAGACTCAGTCCTCCCAAGCGATGGATAAAAGAGACAGAAATAGAGACAATTGTGTCATTAAGCATTATTTGCTCTGTTTTTCATGCACCTTGGCAAGCAGACTGTCTTTACTCTTCTCTGGGGCTGTTTTTAATGTTGTCACTTATCCGCCATTTTGTTTGAATTGTGTTCCGTTGCTTCTACTCATTCTGTTGACTGGCGTAGATGCAACTGATATCGCTCTTTATGAATGGCAAATTTCACTCAACACTCTATTCATTTCTTGTCCTTCATAATGTAACATCTAGGGTAGACACAGTACAATCTCATCCTTTGGCTCAGGCTTTGGTCTTGGAAAAAATACCTTGCAAAGCATGTCCGTCATGTTTTAGTCGACTATGAAAAAGAGACCACCATGTGAAGTAATTCTCTTGGAGCTCGTCTTTCCAGAGTAACCTCATTTTCTTCACCTTTCCAGATCAGTGTTTGTAGACAGATTTGACGAAGTGACGCACATCGTGTATGGACAGAAGGATTTCTGGGAGGTACTGTGGCTCATTTTTTTTTCATTATTTCAGATCAGTAATGATTGACAGATTTGAAAAGGTTTTACACATCCATTATGGTCAGGTAGAATATTGGAAGGTAATATGTCTTCAAACAATGAAGCTAAGATCAAGTGATTTGGGCAGTTTGGCACATTATAGCCAGGCCGTGACCAGAATACAGCTTGACTATAAGCTTCAAGGGGCAATTTGGATAACATTTCCAGGAGTGAATGGCTTTAACACCAAAATGCTGCAGATTTCAAGAGCAAAAACTGAGCAACCAATAGACTTACAGAGGGACCACAGTGCTGCAACCGGGGCTACCTAGGAAAATGTTAACCAATAATTGTTTATTGTATTACACATGAGTAACAATACATTCCAAGAAAGTTGGTTGTGGGCCAATCAGAAGCTCATAAGAAAAACAATAAGGTACTAGAAGAATCAAAATTTAAATATTGATAGTAAATTGTTCCAAAATAGCATTAAAATATGTTTATCTGAAACTTTATATACCATGCCCAGGAAATATATTTTTGACAGATGTTATTTTGTCGTCTGCCAGCAATTTCGTGGCAAACATTGCCAGACATTGAAGTAACATATTACCTAAAGTCAAAAATATAACTGATGTTTACAATTTTCACCTCCGCCAATCATTCTAACAGACCTCTTAGGAAACGAAGGTTTTCTTCAGTGGGTTCAAAAGGTCATGTTTGTAGGTTGTCATAATTTGGTTGATTTCGATCCATAGTGTCTTAAGCTGTGATAATAGGCAGCCTTAGCAATGATGAAAGCGATTGCAGGAAAAACATCACTTTTAAAATCAGTTTGCACTTTTTCAAAACATGTGATTTAGATTACATTCTAACTTGCTTAAAATTTCATATGTAGGTGACATTTCCTGGGCGTAGACCCTTGGGGACAACACCCAAGTTTAATAACAGAGAATTACTTGGCATTTGGTTATGCCGTCCATAAAATTAATTTATATCAAATATGGAAATTTCATGTTGTTTTGAAGTATCAAAACGTGTAGTCAAAAAATAGTGTTCAACTTATCGCTTTTTTGTTTGTTTTTGTTGCTGTTGCCATGGTTGTTGTTTAAGCTCTCTAATGTCTAATGTTGAAAGGGAGCTGAGTTGACAATGACTCTTATCAGTACTTGTCTTAAACGTAGGCAAGAAGAAGCCAAGTATTTGCCAAGCACCTGACAGCAGAAGGAGACACATTCCGTAAAGAGATACTGAAATCAGAGGACAACAAAGATGGCACTGTCATGGATGAAGACTGGACAAAAAACCACAAAAAGGAGGGTAGTGCTACGGGTGGCCCATACCTGGCTGTTCACCTGAGAAGAACTGATTTTCTTGATGCACATCCTGATGGTGTACCATCATTAGATAACGCTATCAAACAGATCAAGGAGATTCTAGATAAACAAAAGCTTGACAAGGTGTTTCTTGCTACTGATGCTGATAAAGAAGGTGAGATGCAAAATATTGTTTAGAAATAATAATACTTTTACCTTTTCAAGGCTGTTGCTATGTTTTCAAGTTGCTGGGTACATAGCCTGAGAAAACCGCCGACATTTAATTTCGCAACGCCACCACTGGTTTTTGCGGCAAATTGACGTCTGCAAAATGTGTGCTGAATTGCCATACTGATACTACCGAAATCTGGGTAGTGCTTCTGATTGGCTGATGCAAATTTCCCATGCAGCATGACCAATCAGAAGCACTGCCCAGATCTTTATCAGTATGGAATTTCTGTGGTCTTTCTGTAGACGTCATTTTCCCGGGAAACCGGTGGTGGTGTCGCAAAATGTAGGCTGTTTTCTCAGGCTACTGGGTATATGTATTTAGTGGGCTAGGCAGGAAATTGAACAGAAGTGGAATTTCTCTTGGTTATATTTTCCTTTTGTTTCCAGTGAAAATACCTGTGGGTTATGCTCACAGAAGCTGGGGAAATCCTGACCCCCAGCCAGCTCAGTGACAGCCTTGTTTGAATAGATGTGGAACTGTTCCTAGAACCTAGGAAAATACCCATCATAGGTTCGAGAACCAGCAACAAGCTCAACACTGTCAAAGACCTTGAAATTTGATACCATTGATGATATAGCTCAGTTACCAATAAATAGTCTTACAAAGAACTGTTGAGGATTGCATACTAATTAACACTTCAGTGCAAGGACAGCAAAAAGGTTCAGAGTGAAAAAAAGTGTTTTGGTGTTTGGAGCTGGTCCCAGTTGGCTTGCTGGTTGAGTTGGTAAGGGTACTGGACCAGTATCGCAGAGCAGGTCAGGGTTTGAATACCAGCAAGCTTGAATTTTTTTCAAGCTCTCTTTTTCCAGCTGCTCTTTAGTTGCATATTAAAAATCTGTGATGATCGTCTCTGCGTTTATTTCTTTATCCCACAGTTCAAATACATGAAATTAATATATTCAACTCCATCTTCCCCGGGTATATTACAATTGGCCAGCCCCCAGTTGGCTTGCTAGCTCAATATTGGTTGGAGCGCTGCACTGGCATTACGAAAATTCAGGCTTTCTTTTCGCAACTGCATAACCTGCGTATTTAACTGTGATGATCTTCTCTGCGTTTATTTCTTCATCCCACATTTGAAATATATGAAATTAATATATTCATCATTTAATAACTAAGTTTCTTTACATTTTTGTAGTTACACCGATATTGACACTACTGTCAACTCTGCACATTAGTTTTATTCAGACTGATTTTTCTCAACATCTTCTTTTCATTTGTTTGTTCTTTAACCAATGTCCAACAGTTGCGAATCATGAATAATTCCGAACGTATAATGAACGTATGCCGGATGATTGCCTCACAAGAGGCAGGTAACTCTGAGTAGTATAACAGTACTATATTGTTTTACAATTTCTTTTCCCATTTCAGAAATAGATTATTTGAAGAACAAACTTCCTTTTGTCAAGTATGATGCTCCAAAACAGATTTTACAAAAATATGGTGATGGAGGGGTAGCTATAATTGAGCAGTGGATTTGTGCTCATGCAAAGTATTTTGTCGGGACGTGTTGGTCAACATTTTCTTTTTCTATTCTTGAAGAAAGAGACATACTAGGTTTCCATGGTAACCAAACCTTTAACTGTCTCTGTGGTGATAAGGAGCTTGGAACATGTGAACAACCATTCGAATGCAGAGTAGTTTACTAAGTTATCATTTGTATTTATTGCATGTTTAATATGCGGTTATCAATTTTTATTACTTGCTTCTGTAGGACGTTTAAGTTATGTTTAGGTAGGTTTCAATGATTCAACTGGAGGTATTTTAAGAAATATATGATGTTATGAATTCAATGTCACTCAATGTGTACTTAATTTAAAATATATTTTGCAAAATCAACAGAGGTGACTGATCTTAATATTCAACTCATGTAGTGGAAAGACAATATTTGCCAGTTTTATAATATGAGGTGTGCGGTAGGAAAACTATCATGTATGAAGGGAGATGAAGGCAATAAATTTTCTGAATTTCACTTTCTGAAATTGATGGTTATTTTTTGTTTGTTTGTTTGTTTGTGTGCTGAGGATTACCCTCTTTGTGTCTAATTTATTAGCCACACAATATTTCTTTTAAGACCAAGCTTGGTCATTTTTTCTTTAATGAAAGCTGGATATTGGCCTTGTTCCTTTTTAGGCAATCTCTAAAAGGAAAAACAGAAAAAAAACCGTGGCCAATCTCTGGGCGTATGGAAAAGCCGGAATCCGGAACCGGCAGCGGAGCCGGAAACGGAAACGGAACCGGAACCGGAACCGTAATCCGAACCTAATAAATAAAAATTGGAGACGTTTCTGTCTTGAGAGTGTCACTAACAATAATTGCTCGATCAAGACTTTTCATCCCTACATTATATTTGTTTACTGTTATTATATTTTTTACTGTCGCATTTTTTGCGTACGGCGCAAAATTTTTCTTCTAGAATTTCATATACGCGTGAGCATTGCAAGTTGGGATCATGATTGACATGAGTACTCCTCCTCCCTTTGCCGCCTTTGCCTCACAATGGATGAAACACGCAGCCCTTTTAAGAACATACGCAGTGTAACCTTACCAAGAGTGATGAATCGACCTTTTTCGTCCTAAATGTAGACTGGGTTTTTGTGCGAAATTGAGTATTGCCGTACATAAATGAAAACGCGAAACGCTCAGCTGCGTCGATCCTCATGCTATATATTCACTTTCCTCTGTCTTTCCCTGTTACATTTGGTGCAAGTTAAGGTGACTCGACCCAGTTTTTTTGGGGGGGTACCATCCTACTTTGAAGCTCTCTGGTATGCCCACCTTTACTTTTATCGTAAGTCTAACATATAGAATGGATAACATATAGATCAATCTACAATATAACATAAAATTTTTGGCGATCGGAGTAAATGTCACGTGGTTATAATGCCACGCCCCTTTGAGGTCTGAGTCGAAAATCTGCTGTTGCAGGCATTTTTTCCTGAAAATCTCTCGGTTACACATAGTGCGCATTAGTGCCTTGCGCTGAACAGAGTTTCACCAAAATTGCAAAGACCCAATTGGAGAAATTCAGCGGTTTCCAAATTTAGGTCATAATTTATGCGAAAATGATAAGCAAACTTTACACGATTATATCTAATAAACTATGAGATTCATCCCTTTATTTTGGGCATCGTTATAACAGATGGGTCCTTGCAGGTCAGCAAAACGCTTTAGGGCCTTGTAAATGTGCGCGATTTTGAGCAAAGCAAACATATAGAAATTATAGTTTTCGCAATTTGTTGACGTTTGTCAGCGTTGAAGAGTCCTTCTCACGAAAAAAGCATTTTCTTAAAAAATCAGCTAAAAATCGTAGTTTTTTTTCCTTCAAATTTTTTCAGGGCCACAATTGATTAACTAACTACCCGGATTCTGAATTTCATGGTCATTGAAAAACTGTGACATTATCTTCTATAAGCCCAAACTTGAGTAAACATTGAAGATTGTTAGCGTTTTGGCTGAGTTTGTGCTTTGGGAGTTGTCTATTGTTTCTAGTCTGTCATTATACAGCATTCTTGTTCAGCACGCGTGCAATGACCACGCTTGGCTGACTTGCGAATGCTCAACGAGATATGATAATTTAGTATGAGAAAATGGAAGGGATTCCCGC